GGGTGTGGGTGTGGGTGTGGGTGTGGGTATAAATGTGAGTATGAGCGATGTTATGGTCGTGGGTTACGGGAAAACAAGTGATTTATGATTTTCTGTTTTAAGGGGAGCTGTACGCTCCTCTCTTCTCTAAGCTACCAATTTTTGATGACCAGTTTGTAGAGCAGATTAAACTACATATAACTTGAAATTTTCTCGGTCGGTCAGCTGTTTTTGATAGAGTTATGATTTTCACAAGATACATGAGCGGTCGGACCCTTTGACTACTATGAAAGGAGGAGGGCGGGTTTGCACATAAAACGGCCATGAATAGAAATCATCTCAGAACACTATATAAGATTGAATTTCATTTTCCTCTAAGTAAGAATATAGCATCTGGACCTCTTTCAGGCCATGTTTCAAGACCTCTTCTCGACATTTCTACCTACACTCTTAAAAAATCGGTTTTTTACTGAACCCTCAAAAAAGGTTCCGGAGATGTCTAAAAGCGTCCAAAGAGGTCCAAAGTCTCAAGAAAAGGATAAAAAAATCTACGAAACCTTTAAAGGTTCTTACCATGTGCCCAGGATAAGAACCTTTTCCTGTGAAACCTTTTTTAAAGTTCCGTACAGCAGAAAAAGGTTTCGTAGGAAAATACGAAACCTTTAGAGTTTCATATTAAACCCTAATAGTTTCGTACTAAACCTTCATGATTTCGTAGAGTTTAATACGAAACTCTAAGGGTTACCTATTTTCCTACGAAACCTTTTTCTGCTGTACGAAACTTAAAAAAAGGTTTCGCAGGAAAAGGTTCTTATCCTGGGCACATGGTAAGAACCTTTAAAGGTTTCGTAGATTTTTCTATCCTTTTTTTGAGACTTTGGACCTCTTTGGACGCTTTTAGACGTCTCCGGAACCTTTTTTGGGGGTTCGGTAAAAAACCGATTTTTTTTAGAGTGTAGGATTGAAGCCTCATCAATATCGGAATCTCCCTCACAGGTTAATCGCGTTAGTTTGCCAAATCAGTCTCATATTTTCAGGGAAGATAAAGCTTTTTGAGCAGCTACAAAATAATCACAAATTGTTAAGAAAAATATGCTGCGCCCAAAAATTCCCAAGGACCACACAGTTCAGGTTCTACAAGAAAACTCATTGTTAGGATAGTATGATCCGTAAGATCTTAGGTATCGCTCCTGATACCATCGTCATTTGTTGTAATCAGATAGAGTTTTTCAAGACCTTCAAATTGATAACAAATTGTGAAGTAAAATATGCTGCGCTCGAAAATTTCCAAGGACCGTACACTCTAAATAAAATAGGTATCCTAGAAAACCCTTGAGGGTTTCCGAAGAAGGGTTTCCGAGACCTCGGAAATCCATAATGTCCATCATATCGAAACCTCAAATACTCATTCGGAAACCTAAAAAAAAAGTTTCCGAATGGAAAAAAGCTGTAGGTAGCTACTCAGAAAAAAGGTGTCATACTGAACCTTTTAAGGTTCTAGATTTGGGTACCATTTTCCGAACCATTTAAGGTTTAATCAAAAACTGGTTCTAGCTGGAACCTTTCCCTTTTTCTTCCAAAAATGGTTGTAGAGTAGTAAAATGTAGTCCGCCGCACTCAATTACTCTAGTACTGGCGAGTACTGCTATAACCAACCGTTAATTGCATATTTAACCCCTTATTTCTATCTCTAAACCTTAATTCTATCCTTAACCCTTAAGCCTGTCCTTAGGGTGTGGGTGTGAGTGCGGGTGGTGTGGGTGGGTGTGGGGTGTGGGTGTGGGGTGTGGGGTGTGGGTGTGGGTGTGGGGTGTGGGTGGGTGTGGGTGTGGGTATGGGTGTGGGTGGGTGGTGTGGGTGTAGGTGTGGGTGTTTAAGGAGAGTATGCCCACCCCCACTCCCACACCCTCAATAGGGATAGCCATCTGTTGCTTGATTTGGACAGTATTGTTTTAATTGTGGTTTTACATTACATATTTTATCACTTGCAACTAATAGATGAATCGTAACATGACCTGTTTGACAACCTTCATTCATTAAAAATTTATTAACACGTTTTTCTAATTGTGATGATAAATCATTTATTGGTAATTTTGATGATGTATAAGGACTTTCTTTACGCTTTATATTATATTCACGTATACATGTATTACATATAAAACCTTCAGATCCTATTTGATCTAAATGTAATGCACATACTTGATGCCAACGACGTGTACAGACAATACAATCGATCATTTTTTCAGGTTCTTTTAAATCCTTTTTAGACAATAAAAATAATGATTTTGGTATTTCAACTAATGTTTGAGTTAGATTATCACCGATAAATATCGAATCACTTTTTATTGCATTAAAACATTGCGTACAAAATCGATATTGATCATTGGATAAATTTAATCGTGATAGTTCAAGATTGTTATAATAATAATAATTATCATTAAGTGAGATTTGACAACATTGTTCCTTGCCATAACATAACATAACTTGTGGTAAATATACATATTGACGACCACAACATTAACCTAACGTTTGTAGAACAGGATCAATAGATTCAACAAATAGTTCAGCAAGTTTTGAACAAATTTCATAGATAGGTAATGTTTTTTCATTATAAAGCCATATATGATTAAATATAGCCCATATGTCATCAGAGAATTCTAATGGATTTTTATATTCTCCACACAATAATTTATTATGTATGCAGAGGTGCAGAATCTTCCTCATGCGCCCCCGGGCGGGGGGGAAAATTTTTTGAAAAACTCAAATAATAGGAAAATTTTAGAAAAACCTGCTGGCCAAAATAAAATACAGTGGGGAAATTTTAAAAAAAAACTTTTTTGCGTGGGGGGAAATTTTTGGATTCTTGGAAGATTCTGCACCTCTGTATTTATAATTGATATATCGATGGAATGTTTAATTATTGTTGGATAGTCAAGTATTTTCAGTGAAATAGAATCAACTGGTAGTTGAAACGAATATGAACATTCCGAAGCAATCATTTTGTGAATAATTGGTTCAAGATGTATACGTAAGTCTTCAGATATAAATTGTACAGAATGTTTAGGTAATTGTTTATTTGATGTATCAATATATACCGTTGTTGGCTCGATATTATCGTTATTCAACAATTGTGAATGAGTATTATTATTCTGTATTGTTTTGTTTTTGATCATAGAAAATCTAGAAACATAAATAGTAAATTGACAGATTTTTAATTATATAGGAATGAGTGTGGATGAATACTGTAATAAAAAATGATAATGACGATGAAAATGCGTCGTTAGTTTCGTTATATCTGTATAGATGCTCACTATACTAGTCCATCAATCAAGTTGTATTCATTTCAAATTGAATATGAGTTTATATATACGAGAGAGAGAACAAAGAAATAAAGATGACAAGATAGAAAAGAATGAATAGGCAGCTATCATCGATTATAAAGTCGGAGCATCTAACGATATATTGGTCGAATGATGCTCTCACATGTTTGACCCAATAGAAGAGATAATATATACGTCATGCGCTTATCATTGGCACAAACAAAATAAATTTTCAATAGAATAAATAATCAATGTCAATACTCGTCTGGCCTGGTCTAAAATGACGTGCAATTCATAAGGACTGATCGTATTAATGAGGAA